GTTTAGTTGTTTAAATCGGCATTCAAATTGTTTTCCCTTTTATATTTACTTTGTACAATTTTTGCAATCAGGCTGTTTTTGCAAGTTTTGTGCCACTGTTTGCTTATCTTAGCTTTTAGCTGAAACCTTAATCATTTTAGTTTTTAGGTACAATTTAAATGTTCTTTTTTCAGGTACTGTTTTGCTAATTTATAGTTTAGCTCCCATTTTGCTACTTTTAGCTTTAAGCTATCCATCAAGCCGTCTTTTTTAAACCCATGTTTTCTTTTTAGAGCCATGGGGGAGCTATAAGTGCCAGTCACCATTGGTCATTGTGCAAGAGGATTGGCATCATTGGAATGCCGGAAGTGTAAACAGTTATTCTTACACTGCTGGAGCGAGGCACATAGAAATTCGTTGACTCTCTTACAGTTTAAATCAAATGACTACAACCAATTACAAAGTGAATTGTAAATGGACTGAACCTAAATAGTGCTTTTTCAAGTCCTGTTGGACTTCAAAGCAATTTCTGCTTACAGACATTCACCCATTCACACACTGGTAAACTACACAAAAAGTTCTTCTTAAAACCTGTGTTTCTGTATTATTGATATGTACTTCCTGAAGCCTATTGTGTAAAAAAGTTTTAATAAGATTTATAAAACCTTTCATTCCATATTTACCATATTTATGTAGGAGCAGAAAATGACCTACTGTGTCAAAAACTTTGCATAAATCAATAAACAACCCCACATCATAGTGTTTCTTATCTACAGCGCTTACTATATTTTCTATAAAATCTATCACAGTTTATAAACTACTCTTGAACCAGTATTAATGATCAATAATAGAATACTGAAAGTGAAAACTGAAGTAACAGGCACAGGTCTACAGTTTGACACTGTATGCTTATGTCCATTTTTATAAATAGGAACCACTTTTTTATTTCATCAAGATTTTTTTGATAAAATTATTGCACACACATGCTATTTTGATACAGAATCATTTTATTCTATGAGTGACTTCACTACATTATTACAAAAGAAAAAAATATCTGGTAAGTACACTTACACAAACACTGCCAAGAAACAGAATATTTATTTTAGGCAAAGTGTGTATTATTCTTTTTTTTGTGTGTGTGTGGACTATTTGATTTGACCAAATTCAGACCTGTATTACCAAAATACAAATTAAACTCATTACTATTTTCTGAGTTTTCAAATGTTTTTTTATTTTTTTAATGTTTGTAATAACAATTCATATTGCTATGCTTTTTTAGTCACTTCATTAATAAAAATATAGCACTATTTTCATGGGGACACACACCTATTTATGCATCACTATTGGCTCCACTTTTCTGCTCTTTGATACTTGCATGCTTTACTAATTTAAACATTTGAACAAGACACGACATTAATGGTAAATTTGATTAATTAAAAAATTTAGATGTATTGCCGTTTTCAAACAATACTGGATCTCTGAAGGTTAACATTTCTGTTTATTTATTGATGTTTCCTGAATTAATGGTAGCAGGCTCCAAATTATGGAGTCAATTTAAAACCTTTTGACATGCTTAAAAAAAAGCTCCACACATTTGTTAAACCCTTCTCCACTCCTACGCTCTTTATTTAAACATAAGCAGGCTTTCACATTGCCTTCTGCTCTTAATTTAGTAATGCACTCAATTTTAAAATCAGCTCTTTCAACTTGACTTTGGTATTTCTTCAGGTTTATGAACCAGTTTTGTGACAAATCTATCAGATTCCTTATATGCTGTGAAACCCCAAGTATTGAATTTTGGAGAATTGATTTTGTTGTTGTTGCCATCAGTTGATAAATAGGCAAAAACACTTTATTTAGCCAAACAATAGCACATTTTCTCTGCTTGTCCTTGTGTGTTTTTGCAGAGCAATTAAAAAAAGCACTTTGCCTTGTGTTCATTTGTTAGAGCCTTCATTTAGATCAACCAGTAGCTCCAATTAGGAACAGCCGCTTCCTTTTGTGTGAGCACGCCAGTCTCTAATGGCTGGCTACATTGATTTAAATTCAAACTAGAGGGGGTTTAATGAACTGTTTTCATAGAAAGACTTTAATAGGAATTTGTAGACCCACAGACAAGTTGCCAAACAGTTCACACACGATTAATTATGCATTGTAGTATTTTTCTTGAAACAAGAATAAAACGGCACTAAGCAATGTGCTGAGAGGCTGTCTGTTGACATTTGATACAGATAATGTGTTGATACTACTGAATATAATTATGCTGAGAGGAAAGCTAAAAGAAAAGCAGACATGCATTTCATTTTGTTGCGTACACAGGAAAAAATAATAATTTTCTGTGAAGTGAATCATGGTCTAAAATTACAGTGATCTTCTAAAAGAATATTAAAACAGTGCAAAAATGTGTGTACTGTTTTTTTTTTATTATAATGAAGATTTAGGTGCTTCTGGGAAATTTAACTTAAAGTCATAACTTAGACATCCTGTTTTAGATCAACTGTGTCATTTTTAAAACCTTCTAGCTACAGTAAAACATTAAATTAGGGATATTATTTTAATCATTCAAGCATGCTGTTATAAAATATGACCAAGAACATTTGCATCCACACTGCAATGACTACACTGTTATGCTCTCCCCAACCTTTTGGATTGTGTCTGGATCATAACCAATTTGACAAACCTTCTCAGTATGAAATCAGTCATTTGTGTGAAACGTTGACCACCAGTGCTGTTTGTACACAGAAAGCACAAACCAAGTTCTTCTTGCCTTGTGTCTAAAAGGTAAATATCAGTATGAGTGTTGCAGTAACATACTTGGAACTCTGCCAACTCAGAATGTGCTTGAAGTTGTAGCTTAGGTATGAGACTAGCACGACTGTTCCTATTTCATATACCGTAGATGAACAAGCCACGTTGATGTGTGTAGGCCCCATGCGATGAATAAACTGTCACTTTTGCCCCCACAGTTGCCACCGTACTCCATAATCCACAACAGACCTCAATACTAAAGCAGCATAGGTGATTTTCCACTGCAGGAATATTTTTCAAGAACCAAGTTATATTTTATCAACTTCTTCACTTCAACTGCATTTATCAGTGTAAATTTAGAGTATCAGGGTATACATTTATCAGAGAAAATGGCTCTAGTAGAAAGGTAGTACTTTAGAAATTACTAAGAACTTTTAGGGTGGTGGAGGAGCACTAAATATTTCTAATTGATTGTGTCTCCAGTATTCTCAGTGACAGACCATTAGGAATTCAGTATCAGAATCTTAACTGTTATTACACAAAAAATGCATTGAAATATGCTATTCTATTTGGTACAGAGCACAATCTCAACTATTGTATAAGACATTTTCCTTAAAGTACATACAAACAGTGCAGTATGAAAGTACATGCACAGTTTATACAATTTTTGTGTATGTTTAATTTTAGTTGCATGGTTCTTCATAGCTATTGAAGAACCAATCTATTCCATAGTTTGGTGAAGAGAAAGGCATACACACTCCTGATCAACATTTTAAGACCAGTGTAAAATTGGAAAGAATTCACATTTTGCACTGTTGGATCTTAAGTTCTACATAGAGCTTTGAAATGCAAATTGAAGGAATTGGAGTAAAAAAAAAAATCCAACCATTTTATTGCAAACAACCATTAAAATGAATTAGACTGACACTGTGATCTGTGGGGAGAGCAGAGAATAGGTGGAGGAAAATCTCGAGAGATGGAGGTTTGCCCTGGAAAGGAGGGGAACGAAGGTTAGCCGTGGCAAGACTGAATACATGTGTGTGAATGAGAGGGACCCAAAYGGAGACACGAGGTTACAGGGATCAGAGACAAAGAAGGTGAAGGATTTTAAGTACTTAGGGTCAACACTCCAGAGCAATGCCGAGTGTGGTAAAGAAGTGAAGAAACGTGTCCAAGCAGGTTGGAATGAGTGGTGAAAAGTTTCAGGAGTGATGTGTGATAAAAGAGTATCAGCAAGAATGAAGGGGAAGGTGTACAAGACGGTGGTGAGACCAGCAGTGCTGTTTGGTTTAGAGACAGTGGCAATGAAAAAGAGACAGGAGGCAGAGCTGGAGGTTGCAGAGATGAAGATGTTGAGGTTCTCTTTGGGAGTGACAAGGATGGATAAGATCAGGAATGAATGCATCAGAAGAACAACCAATGTCAGTTGTCTTGGAGAAAAAAATCAGAGAAGCCAGACTGAGATGGTTTGGACATGTGAGGTAGAAGGATGCTGAGGATGGAACTAGAGGATGACCAAAGAGGAGATTTATGGATAGAGTGAAAGAGGACATGAAGGTAGTTGGTGTGAGAGAAAAAAGATGCAGAAGATAGGGTTTCTTGGAAACAGATGACTCGCTGTGGCGACCCCTAAAAGGGAAAAGCCGAAAGGAAAAGAAGAAGAAGAAGATCATCCAGGATTCATAGAACCATAGTTACATACAGTACATTACTTTCATTTTCAGGAGTGTTTTAAATGGCATCAACTTTTGTACTAACAGTATATAATAAAGTGGTGTACACAATATGTTGGAATCTAGATCAGGATTTTTCAAACTTTATATTTAAAGGGTCAATTCTAATTTTTTTTTAATATAGCCAAATTCTTTGAGCAACTTGCGATAATCATATTTTGTTCAATACTTTCTTTTTAAACTTATATGTTGTTTCTTTGTTGTTATCTTATATTTTGTTTTTAATGGTAGGGGGTAGTTGTAAATATTTTAATAGAAGTGTAGAATGTAAACAATTTCTAAATCTCATGTGTGAGTTCGGTTGTGTGGTGACCCCTGCAAAGGAGGGGAGGGATGAATGATAGATGGAGGGACAAATAAGTAAATGGAAAGATAAATAGTTAGATGGATATATGAATAATAATAAACAGATGAATAGACTGACTGATAGATGGATAAATTAACAGATACATTAGATAATAGATGGATATGAACATGAATGATAATTGGTGTGTTGTAGGAGAAGCCACACACATCCTCTGTGTTCATTTATGTTTTTAGATGTTGGTTACTACTCCAGAGAAATGGGATGTGGTAACCAGGAAGAGTGTTGGAGATGTGGCTCTGTCCCAGATTGTTCGGCTTCTGATCCTGGATGAAGTTCACCTTCTACATGAAGATCGAGGACCAGTGCTGGAGAGCTTGGTGGCCAGGACCATCAGACAGGTCAGTCTACTGGATCTGCTGCCTGACTTGTTTTCTTTTCCTGAAATAGGTTGTGTATTGCTGATTGAACTCAGTACTTTTGGCAGTATAATAACTAATAATATAATAACTTTTTCATTTTATGCCCTTTTTTGTCTTTTGTCCATTTTATCCTTTTCTGTCTCCTTATTCAAATTTCAGCAGTCATTCAAGACTCAACATTCACACTGCAATTTTGAAAGAAAATAAACAAATGCAAAGAAAAGAAAAAATTTTATATGTTTAAATTGGGGTCTGTCAGTGTGCATCTACATTCTTTAGGTTGCACACCTAAAGATTGTAGATGCACATGTAGATGCAGATGTTCATTAGGTTCAGTGGAAATGCTAGTGTAGATGTTATCATCTAGGACAGTGGTTCCCAACGGGGGGTGCTGGAGAGCACAGGGAAAATGTTAATTTATTGTTTGTATATAAAAACCACTAAAGCAAGTTCATTTCTATAATTAAAATTATGAATAACTCAGTTCCTTTTTTCTCCTCATCCAAATAAAAGTTTACTTTATTCTTTTATTTTACTAAAGGGATAAAGTTTTAATGAGTCATTGATAGAAGTGGGATATTGGATTGATGCCCTCCATTCCACTAGGGGCTCTCTAAGTTTACTTTTGTTCTGCTGCTGCTCTGAAGGACTTCGTGTGAAACCGGAAGTATCATTGGTGTAACCAGAGGTGACTTTAAAAAAAGCAAACATGAAAAACGGTCAAAAACTTCAACATTTACAGTGAAATACATTGACCTAAGTGGTAAGTTTAATGTTATTGCAATATTAAGCATTTATGTAATTGTGTTGCTTATTTTTGTCTTGCAAACTATCGAGAATGTGTTTTTCCCGCTTAAGTGTTCTGGAGAGATTAGCATTATGGTAGTGTTTTTTATGGGCTTTAGACCTTTAGCAGCTAATTAGTTTAATGCTTGTTTCTTGCACACTCCTTGGCCACTTTATTAGGCACATCTTGCTAGTACCAAAATGGATTGTCTTTGCCTTTAGAACTGCCCTTATGACATTGATTCAACAAGAGAGAATCAGAGATTCTTGTTTATATTCAAATGTTAGCATTGCACAGTTGCTTCATATTTGTCTGCTTCAAGTCCATGATGTTAATCTCCTGTCCCACCCAATCCCATGGAAGGTGGGATGGATCTTCATGGAGGTGGGTAAATGGGGTCTGACTGCAGATGGGTTGGTGATGCAAGCAATGTGGTAAGGTCCAATGAAGCAAGGTACTAGTTTCCTGGGGGTATCTTCAATGTTAATATCTCTTGTAGAAAGCCAAACCTTTTGACCTACTTGGTATGTGGGTACTGAGGAACAATGTCAATCTGCAAACTTCTTGTTCTGCTCAGTTATCCTTAAGAGAGGTGTCTTAGTCTGCCGCCATATCCTGCAACACCTTTTGGATGTGATGTTGTGCAGAGGGGACAAGATTTTTTTTTCAAAACTGGCAAAAAGGGGAGGTGTTTTACCGAGGGATGCTTCAAATGGAGAAAGATGAGTAGCTGAGGAGGTATGTGAGTTATGGGCATATTCAATCCAGGAAATATTTATATCATGTAGAAGGATTATTGTTGGTTACACACCTGAGGGAGGCTTCTAGTTCTTGGTTGATCCTTTCTGCTTGGCCGTTGGATTGTGGATGGTATTCAGATGTTAAACTGGTAGAGGATCCAAGTGCGACACAAAAGGCTTTCCAGACTTGTGATGTAAACTGGGATCCTTGGTCGGAAACGATGTCAGACAAGATTCCATGGAGGCGGAAGATGTGATGTACGAGGAGTTGAGCCGTGTCGAATGCGGTGGGAAGTTTGGCCAGAGGGACGAAGTTACTGCCTTGAACAATCTGTCGACAATAGTTAATAACTGTATTACCTTCTGAAGGTGGTAAACCGGTGAGGTCTACTGAGATGTGCGACCAAGGTCGTCCAGGTGTGGGAAGTGGTTATAGGAGGCAAGCGGACGGTTGGTTTCTGCTTGTTACATGCACAGGTAGGACAAGCTGCAAAAAATTGTTTTATATCAGAGTTGAGGGGTGGCCACCAGAAGTACTTCGCTGCCTCCTCCTGCTGGAGAGGATGGTTGAACACACCACTAAACTCCTGGAGAAAGAGCTGAGAGGTTAATGTTTCCATGGAATGTGATGACAGAAAGAAGTGTAACCAACGAAGAGCTCTGCCTTTAAGGGCTGAAACAATATAGGTTATTTTTGAGGTATGGTTAGGAAATAGAGACAGGAAACAAGCAAAAGCCAGTTGACATTGTAACAGGAAGCCTCCACAGTGAGCTGGGTCTCCATCTAATAACTCAAAAGGTCTAAGTTCAGGTTCATGGGATGTCGTTACAGAATTTGTCCGAGTGATGGCACTAACAAATGAACAACAGGGATGGAGTGAGTTTATCATCAATAACGACAACTCTGTTACTAACCTGGTCAAGGAGGGAACTGGCAGATTGTTGGAGTTGAAAAAGCTGTTGAAGAAAAATAGCATGATTGTCAATATGTTTGCTTTGGAGTTCCATAACACTCATGGTCTGTTCGCCATCAGAACCACTCTTTGACATGTTAGCTGGCTGGAGCAAACTATCAGGTTTACAGATAAGTCAAAAGTAGAACGGTTGGCAGTAAGCAGACACAATAGGCAAGTTACAAATGGTAAGTGATCTTTATTTACAGTGCCAAGGGAGAGGGGATCCGGATCTGGAAGAGAAGGCAAAAGGTGAGTATTGGCAGATAAGTAATTGGAGTCCAAGATGATAATCAGGTGAGTATAAATCCTTAAAGAGTGTGGAGGGACGAGATGTGACAGAAGCTGTGGACGAGGTGGTGCGCATGAGCTGCTGAGTTCTCAACGAGCTTAATCAACTAAGGGATAATGTACTGGTAAGCTTGGTTCTCAGGTAAATATACTATATAATTTAATACGTTTAAGGCATTTATAATCTATAACGTCATAATTGTTATTAATAGGCTTTTCATTATAACAAACTGGAAGGAGAAACTGGAGAGTCTGGAGTTTTTCATCGACGAGTGTTTTGAAAAAATAGTCATGGGCAAACCGAAACATACCTCCGGCAGCGCAGCTAGCATGTCAGTTAGCACACCAACATCAAAGAGGAATCGCTCGGCAAGCTCCGACAATATTTCAAATATTTCTCCAGAAACGACAGGCTTTAAGGACATACTGGAGTCTATCAATCAAAAGCTAAGCAGTTTAGCTAGCCGACTAGCTTCAGTGGAGGTGCTGCATAAGGAATTCCAGGCTCTGAAGGTATCACTGGAGTTTAGTCAGGAGCAAGTAGCTACGCTAGTTAGCGAGAACACCGAGTTGAAAGGAAAATTGTTTCAACTCACTGAGGGGATGTCACAGCTATCTGGAGATAATAAAAAGATGAAGGAAACCATCTTAGACATCCAGGCCAGAAGCATGAGGGACAACCTCGTATTCTCCGGCATCCCCGAGAAAGCTAATGAGGACCCAGAGGCTACAGTCCAGAGTTTCATTCAGAACCAGCTGAAACTTTCCAGTGAGACGGTAAACAACATCACCTTCGACCGTATACATTGGATGGGAGGTAAGAGACATGACAGCAAACGACCACGGGCTATTGTTGCAAAATTTGAGCAATTCAAACAGAAGGAACAGGCTATTAGCTGTGGGAGGGAGCTACGTGGTACTAGCTTCAGTGTTAACCATCAGTTCCCTAAAGTATACCTCGATCGCCGTCGTGTTTTGTTTCCCATCAGAAGAAGCATTAAGCTGAAGGCTGCAGAGCTACAATAGCAATAGATAAACTGTATATTAATGGCCAGTTGTTTAGAGACCCTGAGATCACTCCTTGGCTGTATTAGATCTAACGTCAAGGTTAGTGAAACTCGGATTTATTATCATCATCATTATTATAATTATAATTATTATTAATATTATTACTACATTTAATCACCAGTTATAATGTTAAGTAAGCACAGTTGGT